AAGCTAATTGTTAAGCCCAAGCTGCATATGATCATAGACATATGATAAACTGATGTCACTTTGCATTTGAGTGTTTCATCAGAGTCCACTGATGTGAATATTGATTATTATGCTTTAAGGCCTACTGTGATTGGCTCAAGAGTAGAATGGTATGAAGATAAACTTTAGCTTGAAGCTAGAGTTATACTAGTGAGAGTGAGCTTTCTTATATACTACAAGTCTGGGTTAATATAAATAATACTATCTATTGTATCTGTTCTAGTCATTATGCTCTTTGTCCTTGGACATTATTACTACCTACAAAAGAATGATTGTGCATCATCAAGTGTCATCATTGTGTTGAAAGACAATGACCAATCTGGCTTGTTATGCTGACTAAGTCAATTCCATGATCTTAAGCACTGGGGTTGGTGCTCTGATTAAGCATAAATAGAGGTTAAGTCAGAAAGAAATAGGAAAAAATCATAAAAAATTCTGCATATGTATAGTCAGAAGATGTGTGAGAGATTAAAAAACAGGATTCTTCATAAGTTATACTAATTAAGCTAAGAGCCAAAGATAGAGATGAGAAGCTATACCAGAAAATTCAAAGAATAGAACAGCAACAAGTGTGAGTTGTCCAAGTTGCCAACATTAATCTCTTTCTCCATAAAGTGAAAAAAGTGAAATAGGCAAAAAATCCCATGCAGCAATGGAGACAAATACATTTTTGGAGTATGGTACATAATCTCTATCTAGAGTTTCTTATTTGAAACTGCATTCTCCTGATGAGGAGATCCCATGTAAAGACCAACAGACATTGTAATATAGACTTCACAGAAAAGAAGGAGGACTATCAGGATATCAGCTCAGAATATGGACTGAAATAATTAATAAGGCCACTGCAAATAGCATACAGCTATAGTGGCCAATCAGATCTTAACAGATCAAGGCTTGTATCAAATAAATATTTCTCAAGATGAGTACAAATAATTTTGGTGTGACTCAACAAGATGGTAATTGGCTATATACAGAAATGGAGCTTGGTATTTCCAGTTAACAGAAAGGATTAAACAGAAGAAATAGAAACTACAGGACTGATTTATTGTATCTGATAATATGTTGATGACTGCATCAAGTGAAATAGACAGTGAACTAGTGAAGAAAGTACAATAGCACTAGAAAAAGCCAGGATTGATAAGAAGTCACAGTATTAGAGTATGCTGGAAGTGAAATAGAGAAGACAGTCTGATTGGATGAGAAACAAGAGATTCAAATCTAAAATTGAAAATCAACAAAAAGAGCTCATCTTATCATGATAACAGACAGCTTGGTAAGCATACTGCACTATAGCAGCATTAACCCACAATGGATAAGCACCCACTGAAGCCATCTTCAAGTGAGTGTGCACAGTTCAGGCCATATCAAAAACTTGGATGTGTTACAAAAGTAACATGGCTGCAGAAAGTAGATGTTACAGATGCTCTGCATGAAAAATAATTACTAAAGAGTCAGAGACCTATTTTAAACCAGAATGTGATGAACATAAAGCTGAAAGCAGATGCTTAAAGACTCATGTATATTGCCTGACACCCTTTAGATTCTAATCACTAATGAACATGCATCTGGCATTAAGAAGATTAGATATTATTAGACCTAACTGATATGTGACCTGAACATGTGATAAAATAGTGCTGTATCATATTTATACAGTCATGCTAGAGTCCACTGAATGTGTTCTTATAGATAAAGTGCTTTAAGGCTAGAGACAAGCTAGACTCAAGAGAAAATAGTATGAGATAAACTTATAGCTTGAAGCTGGGCTATTACAGTGAGAGCTATTCTACTTATATACTGTTCAGCTCATAATAAATATAACTACTACCTATTGTGCTGTTCTGTGCTATAATACTGATTCTGTCTGGTCATCAGGAATAAAACAGTGGGAAATTGTCTGTGGGCAAGGCAACTAAGTACAATAGTGCTCTATCTATTGTGATTATCTAATCTTCCTATGCTCTTCAAGAAAGTGCTTGAGATAAGATAGATGCTCTGATAAGATGAAAAAAGAAAAAAGAAAAAGAATATAGAGAGGAAATCATAACATCACCCTCTCTTTAAGACTATTGTCCCAATGAGTCAGTTGAGAGAAATTTTATAATCCTGAATGGTATCATCCATGTTGAGGTTGCACTCATAAAGCCATTGATTTAATTCAGATATATACTCTTTCTATTTGACCAGATAATAGATGATAGAATGACTGCCACCACTATGAGCTTGAACTTTGCAGAGTTTATGATCCAGGATTTGTTTGACTGTGTAGTGTTTCTCATCTTTGATTAGGATAGGTTCAAAAGAGGGCAGAGTCTCTTGGCTAGAACAGACTGATGCAATGTAGGAAGTTAGGAGTGTTTTATTGAATACAGGATGTATCCACCAGATGTCAGAGAGTTTCAGGTGGTAAGTGAAGGGGCCAACTTTTGCAAGTATAAGAAAGGGTCTAGTTTATTTGTCAGTGAGTTTGCATTTTGAGCAAGAGAGATGAAGATTGCTGATGTCCAACTAGACTTTATCATTAATAAAGTATTCATGAGCAGGCTGCCAGTATTTATCATACTGTGCCTTTATGATAGCAGTGGCTTTCTCAAGAGCAGTGTGTGTTTTGGCATGGATTGCAGCTATAAGCTGCATGAAGTCAGAGGATGCAGAGATCATAGTGTTGTACTATTTCATGATCATAATGTGGAGGTGGCATTCATGATTAATAAAGAAGAGGGTTTTGTTGGTCACAGAGTGAATATGATTATTGTGTTGGAATGTAGTAAGAGCAAGCCACTCTGTCTAACTATTCTATCTGTGATTGATGAACATCTGAAGGTACTTTTCAATCTCTTGATTAGCATGCTCAGTTTGCCCATCAGTCTGAGAATAATAAGCAGTTGAGGTGTTGCTTTGGATGTTAAGAAGGTAATAGAGATCATCAAGGAACTTGGAGACAAATTACAGACTATAGTCCAAAATAATGACTTAGAGCCTCCCATGTTTTGCATTGATGAACTAGAAATTGTTTAATCAGACTTTCTGTGAGCAAGAAACATAAAATCTCTTGCAGTGATAAACCAGAAGTTGTTTTGCCAGAGAGTCCCTATAGGCAGAAAATACACAATCTCTTATGGTAAGTAAAATCAAGGTGCAAAATCTGAAGGCTGGTTCAAGTGAGTCTAGTCTGTGTATCTCAATATGGTGACTAATCTCCCAAGAGATGTGGCAGAGTATAGCTACAAAGGTATGAGGCTCTGATTTGTTTACAGGGACTCACAATATGTGTGCAAACTTTCCTATAACAGGAATATCATGTAAGGACCTAGATACTGGATGGTGCAGTCTATATATGATGCAAACTTTCAGGATTTATATGTGATTCTAGTGGGGTCTAGAGAAATGGTTAATGTTTTCCAGTTATCTTTCAAGGTTTTTTGTTAGATCTAGGTAGTGTGAGGATGACACACAAGAATAGCAGATCCTTTTTATGTTTTTGGGAATAAAGCAAGACAAGGCAATATTTTATGAATTTATAAGTTCACTTAATATCATATGCAAGCCTTGTAGAGTTGTTGAGATGCTATAGCACTCTCAGTTAATGTGTATTGACCTATAGGCAGTCTGTGTAGCTGGTTCTATTAGAGAGGTGTTGTACTGGTGTACAGTTTAATACAGGTGTCAAGTAGTCTCTATATTGCTTGTTCTTTGTGTTATCTTGTATACTACTTATACTATCCTTTTACTAATACTAAGTATGCTATATTTAAACAGCTTTTGTAACTGCAGTAATAGCTTAGTGAGTCTAGCAAAGTTTTATTACATGAAGCCTTAAAGACTGTGAGGCTTTTAGTAAATATTACATATTTAAAAGTTTGCATAGCCAACAATATGCTAACTCTTCTAATATTTCTTATGAATATCTATCCAAACACATAGTTAGTCCTGTAACCTATTACTCTTTCACATGCTAGTTGTGAAAAGCTTAAACATCCACAGCCAGCCTTGTATATGCATCACAATGAATCTTGTGGGCTATCTTAGGATACTATATGTATACTAATAATGATATATGTCTGATTGGTTATCATAGTGCTAACTGTGTCTATGGCACTTATTATGGCATAGAAAGTTTGTGCATTGTATGGTTGATGAGAAAAGTTCACAAGGCTAAGAAAGTTCACAGACAAATAAAAAGTTCATATATAACATATAATCTTTATGCATAAGAGAATATCAGTGAATAATGGATAGTTCTTGATAAAATTACTGTCATTGAATCTGAAATGATTGGTTTACTGAAAGCCTGCTTAAGAGCAGAAGTTACAAATAATTATTGGGGCCTGTTATTTCAGAGTGCACAGAGTTTAGAGACTCATCATCTCTCTCTCTGACTTTAATTTTTCATTGATTTACTATTAAACTTTCCTTTCATGAATTTCTTTCTGATATTTTCCAATTGTAACATATGATTGATCACTAAGTGGTTACTTTGAATATCTGATTTAGCTTTATATGTGCCAAATCATATTCCTGGTCACACCAAGAAGTTTGCAAAGTTTAGCTGAGTATTCTCCACCTATCAGAAGAGGCTTTTTCATTTGGAGTAAAAATGTTTATAAAGTTCACAAACTTTTTAGTTGCTAGCATTGATTCTGGTCTGTGCATGGTCTCTTGAGGTATAAAATTTATAAACTTTTCTATAACCTGCCTTTCTGACATATCTTAGCTTTGTTCTTCAGTTGTATCCTCCTATTTTTAATATATCTTCACTTTCTATGTTTCTCACTAACACCCTCACCACCTTTCACCATTGTCTGGCCCATATGCCAGATTCTTATGAGGAAGCTCCTCACATAGACATTTGGGTATGTTCTGTCTTGATTGTCTGACAACAGCTGCATCTTGCCTGACATAAAAGTGAAGAGAGATTCTTTTCCAATAAGGAATAGAATAGTTGGGAGTAACAGTTATAGCATATGTTGGCCATCTTTGACACTAAATTAGTGAAAAACTCAGGCAAAGAGTACAATTTCCTTGCTGCAGAAGCAGTATGTTTTTTTTTGTTCTTAAACTTTTTATTTTGTTAACTCTTTCTTTCTCTAGTTTAAATGTGGCATTGTTATTGATTTTCTTCAGCTGGAGTCAGCATCTTCAGAAGCTGAAAGCTCTGCTTTAGTAGACTCTTCTTCCTCTTCAAAAGTTAGGGCTTTTTTTATTTCAACTCCTAAGGCATCAAAACAGACAATTAATGGTATGTAAACTTTTTTATTCATGTAATTTTCTTTTCTAATTTTTCTCTTTTAGATGGTCCTGGTTTTGGCCTTAGATCAAAGCCTCCAGCACAGATGCTTTGGTTATCTACTGAGGCTCACTCTTTTGTCTTTTGAATTCTAGTTCCTTCAACTGGAAGAATGAGTCCCTCTAATATTTCTAGAGAAAGTTCAGATGCATTGCCCTCCTCAGTGAGAGCTGAAAATAGTATATGGCATTTTTATTTCATGAAGTTCTCCTTTCTAATTTTCTATTATAGATAATCTCATCTTTAGCATGAGAGTAACTTCTTCTGTATGTGATGGTCATACAGTTATTGAAGCTTATCTGCCAATGCCTCCACCTGTTGCTAGTTCTAGCAACAAGCATATGCAAGATAGTGTGTTTCTGGTTTTAATATTTTACAACTGATTCAGTTTCTTTTTCCTAGCTGAAAGAGCAATTGAGGCATCTGCTTTCAAACATCTTTATGGGAATTCCTCCTCTCATTCTTTAATTGCCAAGAATGATAAGGGTAATATAAGCTATACATCATTTTCTTTTTCTTCATGAATTTTTTTATTTCTGATTCTGAACTTTTAGCTTCAAAACCAAGTATTGGCCACTCTTGCAAAGTTATGGAAGGGGTGGCTAAGGAAGTTTGCAAATGTAGCAGTCTGAGAGAGTCTATTTCCAAAGGTCTTAGAGAAATTTAATCAGAGAATTTAAAACTTATGGATCTTCTAGTCTCTGATCAAGACTTTGGGGCTTTTGTTGGATGTAAAAGTGTCTATTTCAAATGGGAATTGGCCAGCAAGATTGGCTATTTTGTAAGTCCTCTCATTCTTTTATTTTGTGAACTTTTAAAATTTGCTAACTTTCTTTTCTAAATGAGTGAAGCTTGTGATGCCTGTAAAAGAGCCAATGTGCAATGCCAGAGTGTTTGTTCTGGCTCAATGAAGTGCTTCCAATGCACTATTCACAAGCATGACTGCATAGTTCACAATGAGCTCTTTGTCAATACTTTGAAGCCTGTTTTCATTTCTGAGCTTTATAAGTTCTTTCTTTTATTTTCATGAATTTTTCTTATTTTGTTTCCATAGCTCTCATCACCAAATTCTGGGGTCTCCTTCACAAGCTTCACTGAGATGTCCATCAAATAAACAATACCATGGGCCATATTTCTGACCTTTTCTGCACTGCCCACCTTGACACTATTGTTTTAGTTTCTCAGCTTTTTGAAAAGGGTATTTCTGAGGGCAAAGAGCTGATAGACTTAGAGTCACCTCCAGTGACACTGACATTCCTACTGTTTCTAAGACAGCACAGAGCATTATTGAATGCCTCAAGAACTTGCCTCATCTTAGTTCCTCTGTTAATAGTGATGTCTTTACGAGATCTCTGGTTGCAGGTAGCAATGAAGCTGCATGGTCCAAATCCTCTTGGACCAGTACCAACCCTTCAAGCAAGAGAGATACTATTCAATTTTCAGATAAAGATAGCAGCCTGCAACAAACTGAGTCAACAGTTGACAGTCTTAGCCTTTAGGTATGTTCCAAAATTTTTATTTTACATTTTAATACTGACTTTTTATTTGATTTTTAGGGCAGTGTGGATGCAGGTAGCTGGAATGACCCCCCAAACATTGAAACTCTTGCTGCTAGAGAAGGAACCTTGAACAACACTCAGAAAATTGCTGAGAAGGTTTCAAAATGTGTTATTCCACATGTGGCTTTTGAAGGTCAACAATTTGGGGCTAGTTTCTGTGCCTTTTGTGATGGGAGTCCCAAACATTTGCCTTATGAATATTCTGCCTGTCCTATCAAGATATGTTGCAAATTTTGATTGAAGATATCTCATGCACTGATTTTTTTTTCTGCTAATATGCCCATCATCCTTATCTTTCTTGTGTGGCTAGGAATCAGGAATGCATCCTTATGAGACTGAAAGTGGACTGTACTAATTATGCCCATCACTAGAGTAGGACTTATATGAGAGAAATAGTTGATTGCAATATCTTGTTTTTCTCTTTTGTAGAGGATTCAGAAGACTCTGTAGAGAGAATTTTGGGCAAGATAAATGTTATGTCTTTAGCAGCTGCTTCCTATGATCCTATTGGCAGTACATTTATAAATTTTTATATTTATGTGTATAGGTTAACTTTTAAATTCTGTTTAGCACTATAGCTGGTGTCTCAACTTCTGCTAATTCACATTCTCATGATATTAAAGATTTAGCTGATGCCTATGCTGCTTTTAACTGGTGACAGTTGACCTTTAATAGTCTCAAAACTCCACCTTTCTTGGTAGTGTCCTGTGATTCTCTATTTTTCCATCTTAAAGTCAATACCTATGAACTTTTGGTTATGCTGAAAGTTCATGTGCCTTTGACTTCTGAGTATCAGATTGTATATGCTAAATTAGAGGAGAAGAGGTCAGATCCAAGCAATATGTTTGGCTCTCTTCTGTCTTCTGATTCTGATATGTGTAAAGAGTCAAATATCTGAAGCAACACTTGTTGGTAGATGTTGCAAACTTTTTATTAGCTTTTGGTACTGTTAGACTTAGAAAAAATTTTGAAGTTTTAGCATACACTCTACTCCAAATGTTGTTCAACCAATGTTGCTAATGAGGATATAACAATATCAGGATCAAAGAGAGTGATGAGTGAAAGGCAGCCTTTAGAATGAACTACAGTCTCTTTAAGCCTATAGTAATGTTCTTTGGGCTTATGAACTCCCCCACAACTTTCTAGTGGATGAATGATATATTCAAAGACCTCATTGCTACCAGAAAAGTAACCATCTATCTGGATGACATCCTCATCTTGTCTAAAGACCAAATGGAACACCAAAGACTTGTTTGATAAGTATTTATGCTAATGAGAAAGCATAAACTCTTTCTCAAGATGAAGAAGTGCAAATTTGAAGTGCTGGAGATAGAATATCTCAGGGTCATTATCAGCAAAGGAAATGTTTGTATGGACTCCATCAAGGTCATGGGAGTAATAGAGTGGCTGAAACCAAAGAAGAAGAAGGAACTGCAATCATTCTTGGAGTTCACAAACTTCTATTGATAGCTTATTCATAATTATAGCAAGATCATATGCCTTATGATCCAACTAACTGAGAATACCCTATGATCATAGAAACACTCACAGCAATTGGCATTCAATAACCTCAAGAAATGACTCACTGAGATAAATTTTAAGAGGTACTATATGAATATCCTTGCTTTAGAAGATAAGGCCTTCTTATATGTTCTTCAAAGCATAAATCTTCAGTTAGTTTAGGATGAAAGTAGACTCTGAGTTAGCAAATAAATACTATATATAGTGCTGAAGAGTCTGATAGTCAGATTATGCATATATATAGGGCAATCTTCATGCTAGAAAGAATCTTCTTGCTATGAGCTGAAGCTTGAAGTTTTGCAACAGTAGTAGAAGAAACTCATAGATTCTGACATCTTTGCAGAATCTAGACAAATCAGAAAATTGTTGAGTTATATGTGGCTTTATAATGTCAAAAAGGTGGAACAGTAGAATAATGTAAATGCAGATAATGAAGAACTTATGGTGGCTGTGTAATAAATTGCTCTATACCTTCTATAGCTCACTTTTCTTTCTACATTGTGACTCTCTTTAACATTCTTTCAGACCCACCATACATTATAAATAATTGCAACTGAAGCAGCTAAAGAGGCCTATTGAAATAGATATCTATCATTAGGTAGTTGCATAATACAACAAAATTCATTCTCTTTTACAATAATTACACTATAGTCTTATATACCCTGACAAAGAATATTCAGAGCTATTTGTATCATATGAACTGTTAGGCCTGAGTAACATATGAGCTAAGACACATAGTAAGTAAGTGCTGTATTATGTTCATACAATCATGCTTAAGTCCAATGATGTGTTTATAACTGTTATATCCTAAGATCAATGCAAGAAGTTGACTCGAGGTAAAACAGTAGAATAAAGAATAGTTCAAGACTAGGGATACATAGTGCTGGCTACACTACTTATATACTGTTCATCCTTCTGATAAATATAGTACTACTAATTGTAAGTTTCTATGCTATAGTGCTCATTATCCTAGAGTATTGTGGTTACCTACAATAAGCTGATTGTCTTGTTGTCAGAGTGTTGCTTGTGTTTCAGATTGGTGATGGCTGTGCTGATCAAAACATCCCCACAGTCTTAAGCACTGGTATGAGCACTCTGACTAAGCATAAATAGAAGTTAATACTGTGAATGTAAAGAATAAAAGCAGAAAAATCATAACATTATCTTCTCTTTAAGACCATTGGGATAATTCATAGTCATATATAGTGTCATCAGCATTCATATGACACTCATTGATCCATTGGTTGAATTCTGGTCTATAGCTTTTTCAGCTGATGAGATAGTCAGTAGTAGTAGTCATACTTTTATTATGTTTACATACTTGTCACATTTTATAGTGGAGTACTTGATCAATCTCATAATGTTCTTTGTCATCAACTGGGTCAAGTGATGGCAAGGGTGGTCATTCTTGATTAGGAAAAGCCAGGACAATAAATGGAGTTAGGAGAGCCTTGTTGAATATGTTATAGATTTGCCAGTGCAGCAGTAGTTGGAGCTTATAGGCTGAAGCATCTATCTTTGCTGTGATTATGAAGGGACTGATATGCTTGTCATCAAGTTTCTATTTCAGGCATGGAAGGTGGAGGTTTGTCATATCAAGCCAAACCTTATTGTTGACTTAAAATAAATGACATATGCATCAGTGTTTGTTATACTGCATCTTCATGATGTTGGTGGCTTTTTAAAGTGCAGTTTCTGTTTCAAGATGGATCTTTGTCATGTCAGCTGCAAAGTTCATTGATGCAGAGGTGGATATGTGGGTGTGTGTGGTTTTAGCTATATTTGGATGTTGGCTATGATTCATGAAGAAGGGAGTTTTACTGGTGGCAGAGTGAATATGGTTGTTGTATTGAAAGGCTGCAAGTGCCAGTCATTCAGTCCAATCATCTTGTTGGTAATTAATAAATATACAGAAATACTTTTTGATTTCTTGATTGATGTGCTCTGTCTGACCATCTGTCTGTGAGTGGTAGGCTGTCAAAGCATTGCTATGAATGTTAAGTAGGCAATACAGATTGTCTATAAATTTTGAGACAAATTGCAGTCCACAGTCTAAGATGACAACTTATGACATGCTATATTTAGTATAGACCTCATCTTAGAGTAATTTCACCCATCCTTCTGAAGATAGCTCTGTAGAACATGTGATTGGGATAATTGCTTTGGAAAAGCAATCAATGATAATAATAATAGCATTATAGCTATTGCAGTTTAGAAGTCCTATAACCATGTCAACTGAGATGTGAGTCTATAGCTGTGTCAGAACTTTATTCAGGTGTAGAGGCACAGTACAGACCTTGATTGATGATTTGGCCCTTTGACATGTCTCACATCTCTTAATATACTTCTTGACATCCTTTAACATCTTCAGCCATCAATACTCTCTCAGTACCAATTCCTTTATTTTGGCTATCCCCAGGTATCCAGCCATTACATGGTCATGGCTTATTGCTATGATCTCCCCCCATAGTGGTCAGTTATAAGAGATATAAAGTTGTCTATCATAGAAGAGAAGGTCATTATTTCAGGAGATACCATATTTGTGATTCAAGGATATCACAATCTCTTGATCCCATAGGTTTGATTAGCATATAGCACTTTGAATTTTGTCATGTATCTCCTCTTTCATCAGTATTATCATAGCTCAAAAGTGCTCCAGTTTAAGCAGCACTACTTCTTTATTGTTCTCTTCCCCCTGATTATAATCAGCTCTTCAACTGAGCAGATTGGCCTTCTTGTTTGCTGAGCTGGCTTTGTAATAGAGTATGTATTGATATTCAGATAATTCTATTACCCATCAGGCCTGTCAGCAATTGAGTTTTTGAGAAAATCAGAAATATCAGAGATTCTGATGGTCAGTCCATATTTCAAAGGTTTAAGTTGCTCTTATGAGGTAATGTCACTATTCTGTCAGGGTGAGCATGATGGCCAGAAGTTCCTTGTCATAAATCTCATAATTCTGCTCCATCTGCATCAGTGCCTTGGAGAGAAATGCAATGAGTCTCTATTTCTCATCCT